CTAAGGTCGATATGGATATACCGACAAAAATCTTTACGAAACTCGACATTCGGCAAGCCTTTTACAAAATACGGATGGACCTAGCTTTAAAGGAGCTCATAACATTCAGGACACGCTACGGTGCTTACAAATGCAAGGTTCTCTTATTCGGACTGACCAATAGACCCGCCACTTATTAACGCTATATAAATGACCTCCTCTTCGACTTCTTAAACATCTTTTGCATAGCATATTTAGACGACATCTTGATCTACTCTTCCGACCTCTTAGAGCACGCCCACCACGTTCGCTAAGTCCTTTAACGACTCGACGACGCTGGCTTTTAAGCTGACATTAAAAAATGCGAATTCAGCATAACTAAGGTAAAATACTTAAGCTTTATCATTTCTACCGAAGGCTTAAAAGTAGATCCGGACAAGACGTCGATAGTAGAGCATTGGGCGCTCCTTACGACCGTCAAAGGCGTCTAAAGCTTCCTTGGATTTTGCAACTTCTACCGCCGATTCATTCGAGACTACGGCGTGATCGCGAAGCCTTTAGTGCATTTAACTAAAGCTAACGTTCTTTTTTCATTCAATTCTTAGTGTTAAAAAAGCTTCGACCTCTTGAAGCTCGCCTTGACTACTGCGCCAATCTTATAGCATTACAACTAAAACCTCCTTTGTATGCTAGAGATTGACGCTTCCGACGGCGTAGTCGCTTCAATCCTCTCTTAAAAGCATAGTTCCGACTGGCTACCAGTCGCTTACTACTTTAAAACCATGGCTCCCGCTAAGCTCAACTACGTCGTCCACGACAAAGAGATGCTGGCTATTATACGCTCTTTTAGTAACTTCCGCGCCGAACTCGCCGGCTCCCTTCATTAGGTTCAAGTAATCACCGACCACAAAGCCTTAGAGTACTTCATAACCTCCAAGACCCTTAACGCTCGTCAAGCACGCTAAGCAGAGCTCTTCTCCGATTACAACTTTATCATCACGTACAAACCAAGTAAAAACAACCTTCTGGTTGACGCGCTAACACGTCGCACCGAAGAGCTCCTTTCTTAAAACAGCCTTAAGCGCACCTAACGCTTGCAAACGCTGCTCCGCGCCGATAACGTTGACCTACGACTCCTGACCGAAGAGCTACGCTAACCTACGCCTTCGAAGACCGCCGTCACTATCGAAGAGATCGCGGAGCTCTTATCGACATTCCGAGTTATTGACCAAGTCTTAAAAGCTAATCGAACCGCTCTTAGTTTCACAGCACTTCGAATTCAAGCTTCCAGAGCTGAGTCCTCACTCGTAAACTACGGTTCACGAGCTAAACTCATTATAGAAGGCGACCTGCTGCTCTATAACGGCCGCCTATTAGTTCTCGACGTCCAAAACTTGCGCTCGTTACTCGTCCGAGAAGTCTACGACTAAGTATTTACGGCACACCCCAGCTCCCGCAAAACCTATAAGCTCTTTGCAGTATAGTATTACTAGCACGGTATAGCCAGATTCGTCAACTAGTACTGCCGCAACTGCTACGCTTACAGACGAGCTTCAATGCCCCGCGATAAGAAACCTAGCTTGCTCCAACCTCTCCCGATCCCTTCGCGCCCTTAAAAGCACGTCACTATAGATTTTTGTAGCTTTAATAAAGACAAACACGGCTACGACAACGTCTTTATAATAATCGACCGCTTCTTTAAGCAAGCAATCTCGATCCCTTGTCATAAGTCCATCGACGCTAGAGGCTTCGCCAAGCTCTATATCTACTATATCTATAAGTATTTTAGAGCTCCTCTGACGCTGACTTCTGATAAAAGACCTTAATACTGGTCTGAGTTCTGGAAAGAATTTAATAAAATCCTCGGCACTAAACTGACCTTCAGCACCGCCGCACACCTTAAGACTGACGGTCAGACCGAAATCTATAACTAGTACTTGCAGAAGCGCCTCCGTCCTTTCGTGAGCTATTACTAAGACGATTAGAGCGAGTTCCTTCTTATAATAGACTTCGCTCAATTGACGCTCTTTCACGACTCCTTCGGCGGCCTCTCCTTTTTTGAGGTAATTTACGGCTACGCTTCCCGGACCACCTGGAATTAGAACTTAAAACGACTTGACGACCAAACCCCTTCTCGCAAGCTCAACTAAGACGAAGCTCGCGCTTACGCCAACCGCCACCTCGGAGCTTGGAACCTCGCTAGAGAGCACCTCTAGCGCGCTTAAGACCGCATGGCCAAACAAGCTAATAAATCAAGGCGCCCGGTTGACTTCGACGTCAATAATAAGGTTTGGTTAGATATGCGCCCGTTCCTTACCTCTTGACCATCAAAGAAGCTCGATAACCTTACGAACGGACCGTTCGAGGTTACCGACAACGTCTATAGCAGCTTCAAACTCAAGCTCTCCGAGTTAATAAAGGTTCACTTAGTCTTCCACCTCGGACGGCTACGAAAAGCTCTTAATAACCCTACCCTCGAGCAAATTATTCTTGAACCTGACCCGATTAATATCACTAGCGAACTTAAGTACGAAGTAGAGAACATCTTAGCCGTGCGCTAAACTAAGAAGCACCTCGAGTACCGCGCTTCTTAGCTCGGCCGCGATATTGACTTTACTTAATACCCCGCTTCCGACTTCATGTACGCTTCTTTCAAGGTACGTGACTTCCACTTAGAACATAAAGAGCTCTCCGGTCCTCCCGCGAAGCTCTTCGACTGGATCAAGGCTTATTCGGACGGTGTTAATGACTACGATCACTTGAGTAGTGATAAGGCAATAGATAGACGCTCGAGGACGAGCTTTTTTCGGACGGAGGGGTAGTGTGACGATACGCTAGGTCTCTTGGACGCACCTTATATGCGCTAAGCTACTTCCTTCTTTTTTCCTTTCGTATTCTTCGTATTCTCTCATTCCCCGCTTTTGACCCATGAACCATGGTTCACGAGTCCTTGGCGCTTCTACTTTCGTGTATATAAACCTCAGCTACCTTCGACCTCTACACTCGGTAGTTGTTGATTCTAAGTTATTACTTTGAGATTCTCTTAAGCTCCCATGTGAACCCCGCGCTCCCGTGAGTTCCTTCAGGTAATCGCTTAAGGTCGTCACAATAACGCTTGCTAAGCCTCGTAATCTAAGGCATTTGATAATATAAGTGTTAATACTAAAAGGGCGAACTAAGCTTCTTATAGTATTTATAAAAGATAGATCTTCTTTAGCTGTATAAATAATAAACTTAAAGAGATCATTGCAAACGTGATTAGTTGCTCTTGTATCGTAAAGCTAACGATTCTTATTTAACGACGTGTAAAGTGCTATGCTATTAGCATCAATTAAAGGTTCTTTAATAAGAAAGAGCGCGTAAGAAAAGATCTTTTTATCAACTTCTTTATCGTCTTTCTTCTTATTATTATTGTTTCTTGTAGTGCTTACTAGCACTAAGATCAGGAGGAGATTCTGTGGATTGAATAAAGCTTAATATCTTTTATTTAAGAAGCTCGTCAAGATCTATGTATATGTACTTAAGAGCTCTAGTGTGCTAAGAGCGCTATTAAGCGAGGTCATATGACATGTTATATATAGCTTAAGTAGAACTATGCTTGTTCCGCATAATACACCTTTTAAGTCAGCAGCGTAGCTGCTAAGTTGCAAGCAAATAAAAAAGAAAAAAAAATAAGTGATTAAGCTTTTTAAACTCGATGTAAACAAAAGAGATTGTTATCGCAATTTAAACAAACAAATAACGGTTGTTATTATTGATTAAGTGTTAGTCAAGAATGCAATTCCTTTTTAAGTCGGTCTTATCACGTAGCGGAAGTCTTTAGCGCCGTCTTTGTCGCGTTGTTATATAAGTAAAAGCGCGTTCTTTTTTATTATAATAAACACTCAACTTTTATTTATCTACACAATGCTACTTAAGCAAGTAACTCAGTCTAATAGAATCGTTAAGCGCGGCCGAGGCCGTTTAAAAGTAAATGCTTTTAATAGATTAATATATTTATGTTGATTATTAAAAGAATTTTTTTTTTGCTTTAGCTATTGCTGCTGCTGCAGCTGCGGCGGCTGCGGCGGCTATACTACGCACTCTTACCTTCGAAGCTTCGCCCTTTCCTTTAGACCTTCTTACTAAGCGCTTGCTTATGCTAACGACCGTTAAAGCTTTAAAGTGCATCAAGTGCATCAATAGTGAGATCACATCGAGGTCTAATAAAGACTGTTATAATTGCGACACGAGCGTTATACGCTGTCTTCGGTGTGCTAAAGGTAGCTATAGCAATTATACCGCTGCTTTTGCCGCTGTTAACACCGCTTTCGATAACTTCGTAAGCGCTAAAGATAATAGTGTTATATAAAGAGTTCGCTAAAGTCTTCGAGATGCTATGCGACAACAGCTCGCTTTAAATGCTGCTCTTTTAAAAGGTGCTGTTAATGGTCCGGGCGGTCTAGCGAGTAGAAGTAAAGGTTTTAGAAGTAGTCTCGATAGCTTTGCAAGTTTTGCTTTTGCTTTTAAGACTTTTAATTTAAATGTGGCCTTTGTTAGATTAAATAGTCTTGTAGTAGCAAACCGTGGTCCGGTGACGCGGAGCGCTTCGAGCATGTCACTTTCTCGTAAGTCAAGCTCTTTGACTTTCGAAATAATTTAATTTAAGCAGCTCTTTTTAACTAAAACTTCTTTTCGGACTTTATGCAAAGGCTTTAATCTGCTGCTATAGCAGCTCTTGCGCTTGCCGCTTTTATTGCTCTCGTCGTTCTCGCTGCTTTCGTCGCTCTCGCAGTTCTCGTCGCTCTCGTCGCACTTATTGTCGTCGCTCTTTTTGCGCTAATCGTTGCGCTTGCCGCTTTCGCGGCGGCGCCCGCCGTTGCTATGACTCTTGCGGAGCGCCGGGCTAAAGTAAAAAGATTGCTAAAAGCTTTAATAGATCTTTTGTTATAAAAAGCGAAAAGTAGAAGCGTGTAAGATAAGATAGAATGACGGTTAAGATTGTTAAATAAATGTTTTCTTTTAAATTACGTGTAAATGAAAAAAAAATAAAATGTAATAAGTAAATAGTATATGCGTGCTATTAAAGCTTCTCGATTAACGCGCGAGCGTTTTATAAATTTAAAAGCTTAATAAAGCTCTTAAACTTCTGTCGAGTCAGGTTCTTTATAAGACCGTTAGCGTGCATCTTTTTAGTAAGGAGATATTGAACTTGAAAGCTCCTTTTTAAGTGCTCTTAGCGCAGTTATATATTATGAATATCGACGTAGCGAAGCTTGGTAGAGATACGCTCTTTTTTACCAGCTATAAGCTTGATTGTTTGTTGATTATTATAATAGATTACTTAAAGCGCCGCAAAACGAAGGTGCAGCTCTTTAAAAAATCGTTAAAGCGCTATAGTCTCTTTTATTATAAGAGCTATGCTAAAGAGCTCCGCTTTAATAGATGATATAATAACTATATTTTGCTTTAAAGCTTTTTAAAAGATCGCACCTCCGAATAAAAACATAATATACCTTTAAGAAGATCGCTTTGTCTTTTCGTCATCGGCGTAAGAAGCGTCAAAGGCTATTACTAGCTTTGATTTGCTGAACTAGTTGTATTGAATACCTTTAAAGCGCGAGCTAAATAGATATCGCAGATATTAGTTTATAGCTCGGAAGTGCTTCGCGCTTAGATTAGTGCTAAAGTAAGAGAGTTAAGAAGCTGCAAAAGCTATATTTAAGCGTAGCATAATCGTTGTATATAGCACGGATCTAACCTTCTTTTAATATTCTTTCACTTACTTCCGCGAAGCTATCTTTTCATTTTTAACTAAGTTATAAAACGGTAATAAAGTTGCTAAGCAACGTCCGTTCGTAAGTTCGAATTTCTTGGCTATTTTTTCAATGTAAGCGTCGTATATAAGCGTTAGCGTTTTTCGCTAACGGTCTCGAGCGACTCTTATATTAAGAAACTATTTAATATTTTTTATCGCTTCGATCTCGTACGCTTTGTTAAGACCGTTAATGATCTCTTGCGCTTTAAAAAGATTAAAGTGATAATATATAACTTAAATATCGTTTACGTAGAACGCTATAAAGACCGTTTTGTTTAGATTCGTGAAAATACACGATTCTTTATCGAATAAAATAAGCTTTAATTTATCGAGTGTGCTTGTAAAATCGAAATACTATAAAGCTAGCGAGTCTTTAAGTCTATATAAAGCTTTATCGACCTTTACGAGCATACTTTTTTGCTTAAAACCGTTAAGGAAATAACACGTAATTAAGACGCTATCCGTATGTCTTATAGCGTTAATAAAAGCGTTAACGACGTCGAACTGTTTTACTTTTAAATCAAATTCAGCTGTTATAATTATCATTATCTTAAACGATCTAGCTGTTAACGTAGCAGCGTAAGTTGAATAGATAATAGATTCGTCTTAAAAGTCGCTTTTAACTACAATTTTCGATTTAAACCTTACGATCTTTTCGGACGAGCTAGTCTTATATATAAACACTTACTTAAAAGGTATAGGTTTTGACTTAGCTTCGCTTTCGAGAATCATTTTTTAATAGTTCCTTTTCTTTAGATTATTCAGCTTTATAAGAGCTTCGTCCTTAAACTCTTTGCCGTATAAGTATCGTTGTAGCTCTTTTTAATAAATAAGAGGTTTTAAATGTTTTCGTTTTTGCGAGTTGAGCTGTTTTAATAACAGCTTAAACGAAGTAGCAGCTATTATAACAGCGTGCAATGTCTCGTAATCTTTGCTATTTTCGCGCACGAGTTCGCTATTAGCTTAAAAAGTCGATATAAAATCTAAAACGCGCGAATAGCGGTTCGAATCGGCGCGAAAGTTATTTAAAAAAAGCTCACTAACACTTACGTATATCTTCGCGCGTTTTCTAATGCGGCTATTAATAAGTGAATGCTTTTTATTAAAGTCGGAATTTTGTTTAAAGTGTTTATAGTTTAATTTTTTATTATTAGTATTCGCTTTAAAAAAGTCTAAAAGCTCTTCCTTGATTATTCGGTTTGAATCTCCGCCGGTTATTGACGTAAAAGCTTTCGTTAATCGGCTTATAGCTTAGCCTTCCGGGCCTCGGCTTTAAATAACAACTTAAAAGTATGATTTGCGCGCTCTTTTATTAAGGCTAAGTTTTTGCTCGTCTACGGTGCTCTTCTTTGCTTTTAACAGTCTTAAGGCACCTTCGCCCTTGCTCTTAACTAAAGAGCTAGCGAAACGTTCAGCGGTGTAGCTTGAATTATTAAGGTTTATTAGATCGTCTCGTAAAGCAATTGCTTTTAGTATAGACGTATCTATAAGATCTTCAATTAGAATTAAAGCTCTTAACGTTTGTGCATCGCTCGGATTAAATAAAGTCGTATTCTTTAAGCTTTAACTAGATCCTTTTAAATCAACTTTTATAAAGTCTGACGGCTGCTTACCTTTTATATCAGTTGTATTCGTCTCTTTTAAGCGATCCTTTGCAACGTTCTTTATATTAGACAAAGCGTCCTTTATTTGATTAAAGTCTTTAATATCTTTTAATTTAATAACGATGCTTTTAATCTCGCTAATCGATTAGCCGACCGATTTTTTTTCGTTTTTAAAATAAAATTAAGTCTTATCGAACGTTACGTTGCGTATAACAATTACTTTATAAAGCACAAGAACATAGACCTTGTATATATTAGAAGCTACATATCTAATTAAATAGCTTATATGTCTTTTCGGTTTGACTTTAAAAGCTCTTTTATTGCGAAGAGCTTTTCGGTCTTTGATCATTAGGTACGCACGAGCGCTATACGCAACCAAACCGCTACAATTTGGTCTTAAGTCGGTGTCGATCCGTATAAAGATCGCCGGATCGTATTACTTAAAATATTGCTTAAACTAAAGCTATAACATTTCATTCGGACTCTTTATAAAGCTTTTCGCTCTCGGTGTCATGTTGTAAAAGTAGATAGCGGCTAATGTAATCTCAGGCTAAAGCTTCTTTAAAAGCCCTGCTTTTACTTTCATTTTAATAAACCGTTCTATCACTTTTCTTTTAGCCCTCTTAGCTCTTTTATTAAGTTCGTAATTAAAAGATAATAAGAGCTTTAATTCGATCTTAATCTCTTTCGCTTATCTTTGATATTCGGTAAAGCCGATTACGTTGATTGCGATTATCGAAGAATCGTTGTTATAGCGTATAACAGCTATTAAAAGACCGTATTTGCGTTTCGTTTATGCTTTAAATTCCTTTAGTATCTTTATGACCGTCAATTATAACTTGTCCTTTAGTATAAAGCCGAATAGCTTCTTATTGTATTTATCTTTAATTATTAATAACCATTTGCTTTTTTCGAAACCGTTAAAAAAGTCGAATAAATCTTAAGCGATCTTATAAAATAGCTTGGCTGCTTTATTGTTTAACGTGCGGCGAGATATGACTTGTTAAGCGTGCGTAATAGCATATGCTTTATATTTAACCTTAGTGATTCTTTTAAGTCTTACCCTTTTAGCGTTATAAGCTAGCGCTTCGAAAGCTTTTTTGCTTAGATGACTTGTTCGTAAATACTAAAGTATCGATGAATCTTCTTTTAAAGCTCGAAAGATATTGTTCTTTTAAAATTTATAACGTGTTTGCAAGCGCTTTTAAGTTGTAAAGAACATCATTAAGCAAAAGGAGCTACGAATCAATTAAAGCAAAGAATAATTAAATAGCTTGTATTTAAAAAACGTAAAGTTAAACTTCCTTTTTAACTTTCTTAACACGACGCTCTCTTTAACCTTTTCGTAGCGGAGAGTTGCGTCATATCTCGAGTACTATACGCTAGCCTTGCTTAAAAGAGCTTCCGAGATGATATTAATATTAAACCTTTTAACGATAACGACGTTCTTTAACTTTAAATCTTTTATCTTAGCTTTATTTGGTCCGTTTAAAGCTCTTTTAAAGACTTTAGTCTTTCGCCCGACGATTAAGAGACTATTCGTTTTAGCTTCGATAAAGTCGGTTAAGCGAAAGCGCTAAATTGACCTTAGCATTAAAAGATTCTTATCGTTGATAAAGTAAGTAGCGCCGCAATTGTCGAGAAGAGTGCTGTTAAATAGCTAATGCTTATTATTAGCCGTGCTATAAAAACCGTTAAGAACAAGATTATCGAGCGTGCTAAAGAGCTTAAGATCGATGATAGCTGCTAACACCTTTTTAAAGTATTTTGACTTATCGCTATCGTTCGATTGCTTCTCTTTGCCTTTTAAAACGATCTTATCGACTTAAATTTATGCTTAATTTTCTTTCGTAATCTTTTCTCGAAGCGCTTTAAACTTAAGTTCTTAAAGCTTCTTTTTTATAGCGACGATATTATCTCGGTTCGGCTTTACGAATCTACTTTCGTTAAAACCGTTAAAGCAATAGCGAAGGATCTTGCACTTGATTGCGTCTTAATAATAGTTTCTCTTTTTAAAGCACGAGCACTTAAAACCTTTAGCAAGTCCTTTAAAGCTATCGGAGCGTTTACCGGACTGCTTAAAAACAGTGTCGTTAGCCTTATTACTTCCGGAGGTGCTGCGAGTCGTTTGATCTTTAAAAGTAGCGAATATATTAAAGAAGTTAAAGTTCGGATTGCTAGTTTTCTTTTCGACTTAGCTTTCGTACTAGTTAAAGTAGTCGTAAAAGGTGCGCTTTTAAGGCAATGATAGCTCGTCGTTTCGAATGACTTTTGCGAGCTTTAGCGACGCTTAAATTAATGACTATTTTTCGCTAATAGCTTTTAAGAATGCCTTTATCGCGAGTGTACTCGTCGTCTCGTAAAAGTTGTTTATCTTCGTTAACTTGTAGATAGCTCGGTGTTCTTTGATCTATATCGCTAAAAAGACGCTCTTTTGCTTAGCTGCTTATAAGGATTTGTTGTAGTCTCGTGTTATTAATAGCTTAAAGCTCGAGTCGGATGGACGGTATATTTCTTAAAGCTTTTCTATT